TATAACACTGGTATTCGATGGAGTGCCAAGATACCAGATAATTGAGAGCGGAGCGTGCGAAGACCTGACATAGTAACCCAAACAGGAGATATGGATAACGAGGCCCATTCCAGAGAGATGTCTGAGGGTTGCGGTCGAATACAGAGCAAGAGGACATCGGACATGGAGGAGGACGAAAGAGTCCGACAACGAAAAGATTGACATCCACATGATCTCGGAAGAATAGCGTCAGAACACGAACCAAAAATGACTCACACCATCAGAGCACGAAGTAAGAATGACTCACGAGGTGCTCTGACGGGGCCGCTAACAAGTTATCCACCAAGCAAGAAAATCAGAATTTATTCCCTGATGGCAAAAGATAAAAGGTGCAAATATTGGGCTTCAAATAGTATTTGATAGTATCTTCCAATGACACGTTTGTGAATGATGATGAAGTGTAAATGACGGATGACTAAAAGCTCATGACTGAAAATACAAACGCATGCCAAAAGTTAGCCGATTGCTCCTCAGGACCCACTACCTAAAGTTAGTGGGCATTGACTGAGTACGGCAGTGAAACTTCAATTCCTGCAGATTTACTGATACCTGTGCACCATCAAATATAATGCAGAGCGTACTAGTAGGACGTTCAAATTATCTCTACGGTGTTGAACGGGTCAAATCTCATCCTGCAGTTGTTCGACTTGATTCAAAAACTCTGCAGATTCACTAGGAGCCCAGATTGTCTTACAAAAGAAAATGCTCCCTTGGTTCGAAATTGAAGATTATGGCGGGGCCCCGATTCGAACGAGGGTAGGAAGGAAGGAAGGAAGGTTGTATTACCGCGGCGGTCCCTAAAAGGAACTAAGGGCTACTGTACCTACATACACGGACCTCACTATTGCAAGTATGCTACAGTCCTCCATATAAACCAATCCATGCGACCATATGCCGACATTGAAAGCTGCATATCTTTCACGAAACGGTCGATATGAAAGGGAAATCAAAGTTAAACATGAACAGCGACATTATATCCATCGGGTATGTATCGTTCGAAAGTATCGAATACGACCAATACGTCACATACGTACTTGGCCACTCTCCGTATAGCCCGTCGAGACACCACCATAGTTTGCAAGAAGTCGTAGGTCCTCAACCGACCATAAGCGTTCTGCAATGGGGGATCACAATGGAACATGTCCGCCAGTGCTGACCCTCTCATCTGCACCAGAGGGGGATAACTGTTGCATTCAAGCAATGCGTGGACCTCATCCTCCACAGCTGCTCGACAAAATCTGCAAAGGCGCTCCTCGCGAGGGACAACTCGTCGGGTACGTGACGCGTACCGCAAGCGCTCGACACTCAGGTTATGGCCACTGAGCAGCAGACGAGTCAGGGCGATTCGGTGAGCAGGAATGGTAGCATTGGTAGGTTATTGAGGATTCTCGATTTGTCAAAGACCACACAACTGACCTCGGCGCGCAACGTGCGCCTCCCCGCCTTGTTTTTATAAAAGCATTTTTCACTGAATTTTACGTGGTCCATGCACGGTGTTCGAACACCGTACTTTTACGTTTCGTACTCCGTACATGTTGTTTGCTGTTATATCCGTGCAGAATACTAAAGCATACCTCTGACCTCCGGAACCTCCGGTACTTCCGCCCTTCGATTTCCGGAAGTTTATCTGGAGTTGTTGGGATCAATCAAGTATGTCTTCCGCTATAATTCCTATTTCCATCAGTACCTCCGCCAACTCCCGTACCAATCCCCGTCCATCTGTGATGCTCCATATCCTGTCCTTCGGCAAATCCTTTTGGGCCGGAGCACTTATCACGTGCTCTCGGCCCTAACCTCCGATGCTCTGGCTCATGTTCCGCCGCATGCATCAGCTTCTATGTTTTATACCATATATGTTCTCCTTCCTTGCTTATTGTCTCTATTGTCTTTTATTGTTCTTATTGTCTTATACCTTACTTCCTTACCTTTATTGGACTACTCCGTATTTACTATAAAGTGTACCTAGTATCTTCCTGTACTTCAGTTTGTTTATTAACGTTGTTTCCCGCGTTTACGCTTACGACCTCCGAGTCGTCTCTCCCTTCGGCAATGCTAGGCCTCCAACTTAGCAGTCCAGAAGTTCTGTACTAAACCTCTGGACCTCCGCCACCTCATCGTTGTGTCTAGTCCCGTCCAACCATGAAGACCACACTTACCCTTAACCTACCTGTGGTAATAGTGTTTCCGATATTCCGTGAATCATCCGGTACATCTGACGTTTGACTTCCGGTATAACCTCCGGACTTCCGAACCTCCGATATCTCGTCCCCCCGGATTCATCCTTCCTCCTTTCCACCTCCGCTCTTCTCCCTACTCCCGGCATGGGATATAACACTTGCCGAGGTTAGCCGAGGTGTGCCAACAATCCCACGGTTCAGAACGGATCAAGCGGGAACGCGGCAAATACACCCTCAAATGTCTAGGTTCTGTCAAGCATTCAAAACACTTGCAGCTCATACATCTCACTTTGAGCTACGTCTACCATTTTTCAGGTATTATTTCACCTTTGGATTTGGTATTCACGCTATTATTTCTTTCGGTACTCCAATCAGTCAATACAACGTGAAAGCCATTCCCATGTCTTTAGAGATTGACACACAAGCTCCTCTACATGTTAGAATGTAATGAAACAATGCTCCGAGACCACAGTCCTACACAAAGCAGGTGTTGTGTGAAGTTCAGATTCGTATCAAATGGTCCGACGGACTCCGACCTCGGCATGCAATCAGCACTTGATGGCCGTAGGGATAAACCTCGGTGGGTACACTTCGCCAGTCACCATGAACCAAAAGTACGTGGAAATGAGTACGGCATGGAACCACATACCACGATTCTATGCAACGAGCAGACTGTACAGAGCACGAATTTGAGTACAACTACGGTCAAGATTGCACGGTTTGACGCACAATCTACGGCGGAAGTGTACGGTGTAAGATGCACGTAATATTCAGTGATAAATACTGTCATATGTTTTACCTGTTTGCACTCGGATAGGTGCAAATGCATATGTTGAATTTCGGGTTGTAAATTCAGTATGAAAGTGAAGAGTCTTGGTACACTGTCCTTTCCGAGCGGATTCAATCACATCAAACGACCTTGAACAATCCGAAGTGGATCCACTCACGTATGTTTGATTTATTCATCTAGTCTTCCGGATTCATGAGCTGAGACTCTGTTGCAAAAAGGTTGCTAGAGGTTCTATGGGACAAGGTGGGACCCCGATTCGAACGGGGGATATCGTACAAACAAAGCGAAGCATGAGCTTAAATGTTTGTAGCGTCTGTCTACGAGAGACTAGGGATATCGTGATACAGTTACGGGGCTATTGAACTGGAACTCGACGCGCGCCGTGCGCCTCACACCTTGTTTTTACATGTGGATGGGTACAACTATGAAGCAAACTCTACGATCGACCACATTTCATCCTTCCACATGCACTGCAGCGACTGCGAAGTTCAACTTGTTCTACAGTTATCTCGGCCAGCCAAAAATTCACAAACTGCTGACCTGCGCAATTGACTTTCAAATCCCTTGAATAAACACACCCGCCGAACAAAATCAAAGGACAATAAAAAATTCAACAATTGAACTGGAACCGTGTGGAACAATCGGTGCTGACATAATGCAGTGCCGGCGTCTCTCGCTTCCTCTCTCACCCGTACACGTCTTTCCTGCTTTACATCTGCATAAGCCACGATGGACGCCCGCTTGCGCCGCGTGAACAAAGAGATCGCTGGTCCGTATCCATCCATCGAGTGATCCACGCTGATTCGGGTGGGTGGCATAGACTGCAAGAACGACAAGACATCGAATATCCGCATCGATCTCGTCGATTCGTCGCCATTCCACCTCAAAGGGTCGTTTCCCGGACCCGAAGACACCCCGTATCAGGGTGGTCTCTTCGAAGTCGTGCGTCTTTTGATTTTCACGATGAATCCCGCATTTATAACAAACGCCACACCGCGCTCAGGACATTGTCATCCCCGAATCCTACCCCTTCCAACCCGTCAAGATGAAATTCATCACAAAAGTCTACCACCCAAATGTCTCCTCTGCCTCCGGCGCCATCTGCCTCGACATCCTCAAAGACGCCTGGTCACCTGTCCTCACCCTGAAATCCACCTTGATCAGCTTGCAGAGTCTCCTCTGCAGCCCCGAGCCGAACGACCCGCAGGATGCGGAGGTCGCGAAGCACTACACGACAAGCAAGCGGAGTTTTGAGGAGACCGCGGTGTATTGGACGAAGACGTATGCGACGCCGCCTGCAGGGTCCGCGAGGCAGGATGGAGGTGCGGGGAAGGACTTACGAGACGAGGTGGCAATCGCGGGGCTGGAGCGTGCGCATGTGGATCAGTTCGAGGGCCTCGGGTTCCCGCGCGCCAAAGTCGTGAGTCGTCGCGTCCTTCTTGTGCCCTCAGGTTGTAATCATCATGTTCGCACCGCAGATTGACGTCCTGCGGCGATTGAACTACCGCGGCGCGAATGTAGCGCAGATAAATGACGACCGCATCGTGGAGGAGCTGCTTAAGTAGCGTTGGCATGCCCTTGCGTTTACGAGGTGTGTAGGGGTTTAGGCATAGGACGTGTGTGGGTGGAATAATACCATCCTTTTTCTGTCTGTCTTGCTCTAAATTCAGTTTTGTGCTTTGTATGTTATGTTTACTCCCTCGACCCTATCGTGCTCTTCACCTCGGAACTCTTGTGTTATTCCGTTCGCTCGCGACAGCGGAATCGGGCCACTCATCTCCTCCCTCGCAACACGTCCCTGGTGTGCTCACTCAGTTGCGCCGACAGGCAGCAGAGCGCAGGATGCGCGTCGGGATCTAATAACTCTCCTCAATCTCATTATTGCCACGATACCTCGTTCAACTCGGGGCTCTGCCTTATGTAAGCGACAATTCTTTTTGTTTCTCTTTTCGTTCGAGCAGGGAGGTTAACGTTCATGTAACCGGCAAGAAAAGGGCACAGTGGCGCAGCGGTGCGCGTCGGGATCCAGTATGTAATTGACAAATATGACACCCAGAGGTACCCCGTTCGAATCGGGGCTCTGCCTTGTGATGGTTTAGGAATTCCTTTTTCATTTTGTTCGAGCAGGGAAGAAACAGCTTTCACTTAACGCCCCGCGAACACGGAAAGAAAAGGGAAGAGATTCGTAGGGTGCGCGTCGGGATCTAATTCGATTATGGGAGAAATCTGACAACCCGATATACTTACCTCGTTTGACTCGGAGCTCTGCCTTGGATCTGCGGGCAGATCCCTTTTCATTTCTGGTTCGAGCCGGAATGAAACACATTCAATTCAACCCCTGCAATCACAGAAAGAAAAAGGTGGGAAGGCGTAGGATGCGCGTCGGGATCTAGTTCGATTACGGTCTGTCAACCTGATATACCTCGTTCGACTCGGGGCTCTGCCATTCCCAGGCATACAATCCTTTTTCACTAGAAAGCAAAAGGAGAATTTTATCACATCACAATCACCGGGGAAGAAACACCTAAAGTAGCACATTTTTTTTGAGAAACAAGAAATGTGTTCAACTTGTCGCATGGATATCACATGTTGTGGTTCAGTCCAACACCCGATCCATTCGGCACATTTTTATTCCGTATTCAAGGACCAGACATTGCTGAGACAAGCGAGAAAAAGGCAGGGTGCACGTCGGGTTGCAATAGATGCTGGATTGAGCAGAGTACCCCGATCCTCCCATTCGACTCGGGGCTCTGATTTGGCTCGGCGGCGGCAATTGTTATTTTTGTTTTCCTTGATGCAGGTTACGAGTGGGAAGGCAGTAAAAGAGACTATGATGCAATTCATTTGACTCGACCCCCGCTAGCACAGAAAGAAAGGCGGAACGCGCAGGGTGCGCATCGAGTCTACCTTTGTAACATGATTAGTTTGTCAACTCACTTTCTCGACCATATTCAAAGGCCAGACAATTTGAAACAGGAAAAGGCGGAGAGGCGAAGGGTGCGCGTCGGGTTCAAATAAATCCGTACGCGCTTCACATTATCTCGATATTCCTCGTTCGACTCGGGACTCTGCCATTTGGAAGCAGTGTTTCCTTTCTTTTGCGTGACTCAGACAAGGGGAACTTTTTTTCTGGGTTAATGGTCAGACCAAATGCTGGTGCACTTTCCAAGGACTACTGCTTTTTTTGTACCTCGCAATAAATTCAAGCGACGGATAGGGGCGAATGTCTGATCGCGGCCATCATGATGCAATTGTTCCATCACTGATGCCGATCACCGTCTGCTTGTCTTCGTCTTCCATGGCGCAACTGCCGCCGGAGCTCATCGAGGACATCCTCCAACTCGTATCAGACGCAAGCCTCTTAGCATGCGCTCTAACTGCGACTTCCTTTGTTATAGAAGATTGTGGGAGGTAAAAACAGTCTATTGGATGTAAACTACAGTCCAGTATTTATACTCCCAGAGAACAATGAGTAATCGAACAATACAAGTCCAAGAACAATGCTGAGTCTCAGAATATGACTCGAGTAGGAAGAGGTACAGCCTCGACACGTCGCGACGCGTTTCCCCGCATCGCCTCCACAACGTGGCCTTGCCGGGCTGACACGTTTACTTCCTAAATGCCAACACTCCCCCTCAGACCGGCAAGAGCCCGAGCGCGCGCGTGAACTTGTCGTGCTTGGGTCTTGCCAACGGTTTGGTGAAGATGTCGGCGATCTGATCTTCGGTTGTGCAATACACAGGCTCAATGGTCCCGTTCTCGATTTTCTCCCGTATGAAGTGGTTCTGAACGTCGAAATGTTTCGAGCGTGCGTGGTACTGGGGGTCACGAGCGAGGGCCAATGCGGCTTGATTATCTTCGTGAATAATTGTCGGGTCTGTTTGGGCGTAGCCTATCTCGTTGAATAGATATCTGCTCCAAACTGCGAAGCGAGTCGCGTGTGCGAGCGCCGTGTATTCTGCCTCCGTTGATGATGTTGCGACTGTACTCTGTTTCTTCGAACTCCATGCGTACGCAGCTCCTCCAAGCATAAATGCATAACCTGAGATTGACTTTCGGTCATCCACATTGGCGGCGTAGTCCGCGTCGCTGTAGCCCGTAGAAACGATCTCATCAGAGTCGCTGGTGTTGCCATAAACTAAGCCGTAGTTGCGCGTGCCAGAAAGATAACGAAGAACGCGTTTACTGGCGCTCCAGTGTTCCGGTCCTGGATTCGAGCAATACTGGCTCAGAGTCGTGACGGCGTACGCGATATCCGGTCGCGTGCAAATGGCGGCATACATGAGTCCACCAATTATTGATTGATACTGCCCGCGAAGTTCTGCTGGTGCCTCTGGCGCATCAGTTGATATCTTGCGTAGCGTAACATTTGGATCCATCGGAGTCGCAAGCGGTTTGGCGTCGTTCAGCCCGTACTTCGCCAGCAACGCCTCGATGTAATGGCGTTGAGAAAGGGTGATTGTTCCGGATCGGCGATCACGTCGGATTTCGATGCCGATGATCTTACGTGGTTCGCCAAGATCTTTGGTGTCAAACAATCCCTCGATCTCCATCTTTGTTTTCTCTGCTTCCTGCCTCGACGTCGACAGGATGAGCAAATCATCAACCCAGACTGCAATCCAAGTTCGCTCGTCGTTATGTTCGCGGAAGTAAACACAGTGATCGACGGCGGTCTTCTTGAGCTGAATTGTAGTGAGTTTCCTATCAAACTCGCGATTCCATTCGCGTCCTGACTGCTTCAACCCATATAGGGTCTTTAGCAATCTCCAAACACGTCCCGTTCCGTCTTCAAAACCTGGTGGCTGCCGCATATAGATTTCCTCCTTCAACTCGCCGTTAAGGTATGCTCCCCGGATGTCCATTTGAATGATCTCGAGGTCCTCAACGGCGGCGATAGCGAGGGCAGCGCGTACCGATTCAAGACGGACGACAGGTGCAAAAGTCTCTGTAAAGTCTATTCCAGGGATCTGCGAGCAACCGAGTGCGACAAGTCTGGCCTTGTGTCGTGACACGCAGCCTAGCTCATCGACCTTCTTGACATAGGTCCATTTACACCCAATGGCCTCGCGGTCTGCTGGTAACTCCACGAGTTCGTAAGTACCCTTCTCCTTCAACATTTCTATCTCTTCTCTCATCGCCTCCTTCCATTCCAGCATTTCACTCGACTTCAACGCTTCGCTGTACGTGCGTGGTGCGCCGGCGGCTTCCAAAATCGACTCTCCCAAGAATGCGAACATCAGCAAAACCTGATCCAACTACGTACCTCTACATAGTGACCTGTAGCGTCTGTAGTGCCTGTAGTAGCTGTAGTCAAGGGTGCCATTTACGTAGTGCTGTGTAGTTCCAGGCAGCCCACGTAGTGCTCCGTAGTTGGCCTGTATTTCACTGTAGTTGGTCAGTTCTCCAATGAAAATAATATTGTTCTTACTTCAATTTCACTTTATATCACAAAGTACTGACTCCACTAACCTTGACTTACAATATCCCAGGTTACTGCTACTACTGACCTTACTAACATACAACATGAATTTAATTAATGTTATCTGCGTGGATCGAACCGACGACCCCGTGATAATGTAGAGTTTATAAGAAGGGCAAAATACTACTAGACCAGTCTGCACATATAAGGCCAAGGAACCCACACCACCACATGGGATCCTAGATCGGCAACACACCAAATAATATCCAACTCGGAATTGACCTGCTATGGCCTCTCGCCAACTTCCCTCCAAGTAATTCTTCTTCTACCGGAATAACGGGAGGTCAAATTTTTAAAATACTTTTATATTTTTTCTTTCTTTTTTTATTGCCTACAACTACAGTGAACTACGAAGTATGGCCCCGACTACAGGCCAACTACGTAGTAACGGCCAAACTACAGGCCAACTACATAGTAACAGCCAAACTACAGGCCACTACGTAATATGCCCAAACTACGGAGTACTACATAACACTACGTAATAGGGCCGAAACTACGCGAAACTACAGCAACTACAGTGAAAATCGTGTTTTGCTGATGAACTCCGCTCTCTCCGTTACGTCTACCTCCGGGATCTCTTGATCTCCGGATTCCAGGCACGAGTTCAGTCGGGTACTTGCAGTTCTCGCAGCTGGATTGTTGAGCTTGTAGTAATCGGTGTCTTTGGTCTGGCGGGATGAACGTCTCGGTAAGTCTGACTTCTGGTCTGGTGGAATTGATGATGGAGATTTTTCCAGCCGGGGAAGGCTCGGAAGCTGCGATTGTGTCTGCAAGCCGTGCTGCGACTCTGTCTGCGCCGTTTCTCGCGACTGTGTCTGCGCACGTGAATGAGACTCTTTCTGCGCTGTTGGCTCCCCCTCATCTGGTACTGCTGTCTTCTGGAGTGTCATGGAATCGGGATTTGCAGGCACTTCTGTGGGAGATTGCTGGCTCGGGGTTCCCAACTCCTCCTCGAGCTGCAGATCGACCAAGGGTTGGGTGCTCGGCGCTGCCCATACGACATTTCTTGACTCGCGAACGGTGCGGTTTTTTGCGTCATAATATTTGACAATGTCTGAATGGTCTCCGAATCCCACGAAGGTAAATTTCTCCGCCTTCTCGTGATCCCCTCCTAGCTTAGACAGCTTTTGCACTGGCTCGCGTTTAACCCATACTTCGCATCCGAACTCCCGAAGGTGCGAGACATTAGGTTTTTTCTGCGTCCAGGCTTCTAACGGCGTTTTTCCTTGTAGCGCGCGCGTCGGCGAACGGTTTCGGATGTACACCGCATACTCGACTGCTAACTCCCAAAGAAATGCCGGTAAATTCCGCGCTATCAACATCGCACGGGCAAGCTCGACGATTGTCCTATTGAATCGCTCGGCTACTCCGTTCGACGAATGCGCATATGGTGCGGGGTTCTGGAGCGTGATCCCACGGCTCTTCAACCATGCTTTCACTGCCCCACTTGTGAGTTCTTTGGCATTGTCCACTCGAAGGACTTTAGGTGTGTATCCGTACTGACGTTCCACCCAAGTAACATATTCCTTGATCTTTTCAAAGGCCTCATCCCGGCGCTTCAAAAACTCAGGACGGCAATGTCGGGTAGCATCGTCAGTGAACAGGAT